TTCCTTGCAGTGTAAACATACTATTTTGAAATAAGCTATTTCGGAATAACTATTCCAGAATAACTTATTTTGAAATAGCTGCACAGTGCAGATGTACTCTTAGGGCTTTTGCAAACAACCAATAGCATGATATTCATGATACTACAATGAGAATTGCCAACAATGAAAATACAAATATATGGAATCAGCTGTTAAAATAATTGCTCTACCAAAGTAGATTGTTAAGCCTAATTTTTCAAAATTTTTGTGCCTAGAAGTTAGGTGACCATATAAATTTTAAAACTAAGGACTGGTCTATACAAACACTTGCTCCATGCTGGGATAGAAATCTATCCTGCCACTCACTGAAGGTCTTTGTGGACCCTGCTGCCACTCACTAAAAGTTGCTGGTGTGCTTTAACCTCTTCCTATCCCCTGAAATGGATACATCTGATGCATCTCAATGTTATCAATTAATCTAATCCTGTTTCAAAAACCGAGGTAGAAAAAAGCACACTATGGAACTCTGTGTGGCAACAGGATTCACAGACTCTTAGTGCACTGCAGGCTATATGTATATCTCAGCTTACAGCAAACAATGCGTTCTTATAGACAAGACAAGGTTGGAATCAGCAATAAAAAATGACGGACTGCCAGGGTCAGTCCTTGGCGGGCTGCTTCCACTCTATTTACCTGCACCTTCAGTATAAGGCGATCACAACTCTCATTGACTTTGTATCACTGTTTGCAGCCAAATGGAGTCGGAAACAGCTCACCACTTCCTGCAGCTCCCAATGGCTGCAAACATCAATGTGCAGCCAACGAGAGCTATAATCACCCAATACCTGTAGAGGCACAAGAAAATATCGAGGCTGGGGTGCGCCAGGGACTAACTTTGCAATTTGCCCACCCCTGCCTTAGGTACTAATTTGAAGTAATAATAGGCTTCATAGATAGCTGTTACTCTCAATGAAGACCGTGGGATCTGTGAACTCATGAACTCTGAAATCCAGGCAAACAGGAAAAAAATGGAGGGGGAGGAGAGGGGTTACCTGCAGATTTAAATACCTATCTTTAGATGCCTAAAATTTGACAATTTTGTACTTGGTCCTGTTTGGCTTAAATTTTCTATAATATGCCTAGCTTATTGTCTGCTCTGTTAAATTCGGTCCCATTTTTCAAAATTTTACTTTGCTTTTTTGTGGGGGAGCATGTGAGGGGGTGGGAGATCAAAAACCAACTAAAATGGCTAATGGCTCAAACCCTTTAAAGGGCTTGTGTTCATTATGAGGGGGAAATGAGTTTTTTCTTTTATGTATTTGTTTTTTCCAGTAAGATATCTAATTTGAGATAGGTATCTTGTTGCAAAAGCCTAGTGGAGATAAGGCATGGGGAGATTTTATCTCAGTATAGTTGTCCAAGGTAAACACAAGCTATATTGAAGTATAATTATCCTGGTCTTTTGTCTCCACTAGGATTTTAGAATGAGATAGCTAACTCAAGATACCTTGGGAGGATAAATGGTCTATGGTAAAGGAACTGGCCTATGATTTTAAATATCTGTGCTTAATACTCTTTTCTGCCATAGATTTACTGTGTATACGCCAATTTGCTTCTCTGTGCCTTGGCTCCGCCTCTGTAAAATGGAAATGATAATATCTCACAGATGTGCCATGAGGATAAGACAATGACAGACAGTGAATATTCTGATACCTACTGATGAAGTGCTATATGTTTTATTACTATTGTTTACTAGTGAAGACACAGACAACCAAGCATACAAATACACTATTAAAGTTCTTCCTATATTCTGGCTGGCAGCTGCCTTTGATACAGCCACCTGCATAAATTATAAACTGGATGCTGGATTTGGAGACACCCAGTTACCAGCTCAAATAGAGAAGTATAGAGATGAACTGCAGCACACTGCAGAGCTGGGTTATTAGGGATCCACAACACTTAGCTAGCTCTGAACCCACATACCGATGTTCCTCTGTATGCTACTATAGTAAAAAGCTGACAATAAAGTTGTAGGGGACAGAGATGTTAATTGAGTTCAATTCAACTTTCATCTAAGAAGCAAGACTTGTCTGATAAGAAGCATTCTACATTGTTACAATAACCTAAATTTCAGGGAATCCTTTAAAGAAAGGTGATCATATAAGAAAAGAGAGAAACTAATGAGTGAATGAAGTATTTAGTCACTGTGGCATCAAAATGCCTTTATATGATTGCTGCTTAAGTAATTTAAATTAAAAAGGCCTATAGGGATAAGTGAATCCATGAACTGCTTCAGATAAACCTGGTGTTAGCTTAGCCTTTAGTATATTCTTGAAGAAAAACCCTCTTGCGCAATGCCGTTAATCCTGAAAATAATCAGCGTAACGGCATTGCGCAAGAGGGTTTTTCTTCAAGAATATACTAAAGGCTAAGCTAACACCAGGTTTATCTGAAGCAGTTCATGGATTCACTTATCCCTATAGGCCTTTTTAATTTAAATTACTTAAGCAGCAATCATATGTGTGTATAGCTCACAACACAGTGGGAACCTGATCCTGATCAATATCTGCAGACACTAGTAAGGCAAGTGCTAGACAGAGGCTGGTACAAATGAAGGAGCCCTAAGCAGGATTCAGGGACAGCAAGCTGGTAGAATCCCAGTATCCTCCCTCTTCCCATCTGCTGATATTGGCAGGAGTTGTGACTTCTCATCATCCCTGGACCTTGCTGGTGGGAGCCTCTGCCATTGACTTGTGTATCTACCTCTTGCTAATAGGCTTAACCCTCCAGCTAGCAGGTGACTGATAAATCTTTCAAGCCTTCATCCTAGCTGTCAAACTCATAAACAGTTTTAAGATTAAAAAGACTGTACTATAAAACAGTCAACAAATAGACTTTTTTAAAATATGTTTTTGACGAATAAAAAAAGAGTCAAATATTATGTGCTATTATCTTCCTTAATGTTGCTGATTGTGAGCACAAAGAAGGCTAAGTTCTACTGGCCAGACTTCTCTATTTAGGTTTTATGCTACCTCATCACTACAGTATCCAAACACCTTTTAAGAGTGCAGTAATGATGCAGCATCACCTTTTAAGAGTGATGTAACTAACGTTTGTCATCTGTGGTTCCTTCTCTCTCTCATCCTCTCCCCAGGAAGAGAACTGTGTGTGTAGAATAATGTTCTGTTTTGGGATGACTTTGTTTTTCCTTTTTTCTCTTTTTATTTCTCTGCAGCCTTTATATTCTTTACTTTCTTTTCTATAGGACTCTTCTCTATAGGTGTGTACTTATCAGCTTATAAAAAAGTTTCTAAAGAATCATATCCTTTAATACTTAATAAAGGGAAAATATCTGACAGTATCCAAGAGGCTTGATGTTTTTCAAATAATTGAACCATCTCAAAAGTATTAAAATGAATCCATGAGATAGTTATCATCCAACTAGCTAGCATCTACACCCCTGATGAAATGGTCTGATGTAGACTGAACCATGTGAGATGAGAGTGAAGGAAAACAAAAAAGCATTCATATCTGCTGTGAATAGAACAGTATTGATCATCTTAATTCCTCCAAAACTGGGAGCATGCTAGTCAGTAATGGGGCAGACTTTGATTGCAACAGAAGCTACTATTTTTTTACATCAAAACTTTCCACTTATGCTGAAGGACAGAAATAAAAGCAAGCACAAATTGATAGAAAATGGTTTAAGCTGATGTGTAAGAAAAGGAAGAGTAATGCAAAACAGAGCTACAAAGAATGATTATTTTCCTACAGGAAAAGAAAACATTTGAAAATGTATTTTCATGCTGTATTGTGAAACCTAATAATCTCTGTCTGTGAATTTTATGGAGATACAGAAAAAAGTCTGTCACAGGGAATTATAACTGTATTTCCTCAGGACCCATACAATAATTGTGAAAGACAATAAGCCTGTAAACATAAATCCACTAATCAGAGGAAATTCACTAAAAGTGAAGCTGCAATAACACTTAAGTTTATATTTTATACTATTAAAATAAATAAAAGATGTAGATATGTGCAGTAATTGGCTGATCATACAAACATTTATTAAATATAAACACATATGCTTTTGTAGATTTGTTAGAAAGATTCGTTAATTGCCTAATGAAAGATGTCTTTCAGATACTAATTCCTTCATTTAGTTCAACAGATTAAATTTTATACAAGGAGATATTAGCATGCATGCAATGAAGTGACAAGGACAACTAAAAAGCTTAAAATGTTAATGGATGAAGTGTAGTTTTCTCAGTTACTCCAAACTAAAAGCAATAATCTTCATTACATGCACTAAAGATTATCCTTTTCTCTACGTTCTGCATAGATAATGCAGTTATTTTTAACACAGAAATGAACACAACAGTATGTTTTGATTCAGTTGCTATATTTGCATCATAAATTATGAAAATTTTAAATTTATGCATGAATTATTCTTAATAAACCAAATAAATCAGACTGGTTAACTTTTGTAGAACAATTGACATTTGAAGTCTATGCAATGTGTTTTAACTGCTGTAGTTTTAGTATTGATTTTGCTTATGAACTCTGTTAGGTTATAGTTTTCATATAGCAAAACCAGTCAGTTGTAACTGATTAATAACTTTGCCACCATCATGTTAATGTCAACAATTTTTGTAAAAGCAGCTTACTAGCAATATCAACAGACCCGTGTCTTCACTTTTGCTCTAAAGTTCAATCTGGCATAGTCTCTTCTTTTTCCCCTAATAGGGTGCAGAGAGCCCTCTAGCTTCCAAGTGTGTTTCCTACTGTGGTACATATTGGCCAGCATACAGCTGCTCTAAATAACTATTTGCATCTACAATGGGGTCATCCCACCACCTTCTTTTCAGATCAATATGATTGGTACAAACAATAGTTTGATTTTGATTGCTCTATAGTACGCTTGGGTAGAGCCTCTGAATGCAAGTGAATTGCTTAGAAACAATGGGCTGGTTCATCATCCAAAGCGTCCCTTTTCAAACAGCTGCCTCTGCCACACTCACCCTGACAAACGTCCAGAAAAACAGATGGTTTCAGCATTCATGGGTAGTTTAGTGAAAGCCCCAGAGTCAACGATTCAGGACATGTTATCATCTATTTGATAATGGAGCATTCTGTGATGATAAAAATTAAAAATACACTTAAAAATCCTATTAATTCAAATATCCTCACACACTAAATTTCATACTTTTCATAACAGCAGGGATCTGATTTAAACAAACTACAGACTGGAAATTCAGAGGGAAGGATGAAACTTCTTTAATGCACTCTAGTCTATACCATGGATATTCCACTATGGGAAATGCCAAGCAGTGGGTGTTCTCACATAGCATATGTAATGGAATACCTAGACACAAAAGAGGAAAGTTAATAACTGAAAACTAGCCTCAACCTTGAACTTTCCAGTTTCTGCTGTGGATTAAACCTGTTCCTAACCTACTATTATTGCATGTGAATTTGTATTTGATGTTTTTATTTTGTTTTTTTAATGCTACAGATAAAATGTTTTCATAAAACCACATTAGAAAAGGCATGAAAAGTCCTGGTCATACTGAATTTGTGAATGCCTATTTTCAATCAATCAAATCCTTCTCCTTCCTACACCCAAAGTGCATAAGGGCCTAAAAGCGTAAGACTATTGAGGTTCTGCTGTGCAATGGAGACAGGTGAACATGTGGAGAGCCCACAAATAGGGATTCTGTGCTATGTATTGCACTAAGCATTGCTTTGCGATGGCTAAGGGCTAGTTTACACAAGAAGCATTACAAGAAAGCAGCCTCACTGATACAGCTGCACCACTGTAGCGAATCTGATGAAGATGGGGGAGAGCTTTCCTTTTAGCATAATAAAACCACTTCTCCAAGAAGATGTAGCTATGTCAGCAAGAGAAGTTCTCCTGCCAACACAGCATTGTGCACACCAGCACTTAGATCATTGTAACTTATATCACTTGGGGGAGGGAAGTGGCTTATTCACATTCCAAGCGACCTAAATTATATTGACATAACGTAGTGCTCTTCCCACAAACCTCAATGTGGAAATAAGGAGCTTGAGGCAGAGCATGTGCAATTTAATCAGCTGACTATATTTGTAATTGCATAATTGCTGAGCATGTGCCCAGAAAAAAGAAAGAGGGAGAGGTATCCTGGAAAAACTCAGCTGCATCCAGGGAATGCGTTTTCTCTTCCGCTTTTTTTTTTTTTTTTTTACAGGAGAACAAAGCCTTCTTTCGGAAGGCTCTGTATTCCTTGTTCCACAAGGAAGAAGGGGGCTTCTGAAAGAGGGTGATTTTCAAATATTTGGCCCTGTCTAGATGGGCCAAATTTCAGAAAAGCCTCTTCCAACAAAAGTATTGGAAAAAGATACGCAAAATCTCATCCTGTCTCTTTCTTCAAATCCCTCATTAATGCCTGTTTCTCCTGTGATACCTACAAGAAGTCAGCCAATTAATCACGGCTTAGTTAAGGGAAGGCATGGATACTGATTTAATATATTTCTTTATGTTAAATACAAAAACAATCAAAAGTACTCCCAAAATCCTTCAAATGATTGTGGAACTACCAAAACTATGCATCTACATAATTTATGTAACTGTGTGATTTTATTAGTGTGGTGCATCTTCCTTCCTTCCACTAATTTGTTGCATATATTTGTGCAATTCCATAAATTAGTCAGCTCTTTCAAGGTCTGAACCAAAGTTCTCTGAAGTTAGTAAAAGCTTTTTCATTAACTTCATTCAACACACTTTGAATCAGACCCTGAAACAGGAACTGTATCTGTTATTTATATAGATGCTACTCCTCAGAACCCTGATCCTAACTCAGGTTTGGAGTGCTAGTGTAAACCAAATTAATAGGAGTTGCCTGCCCCCCAACCCTGCATTGCTGCCTCTTTCAAAGGCAGCAGCATAGGAGGGGGGAGGCAGGGGCCGCTGCCACAAAGCAGCCTCTGTCTGCGGCAGGCCTGAAGCTGGAGCAACCTATGTTCATAGGGAGCTTGGGTCCCCACAGACAGGAGTTGCTGCCATCTAACGCTGCTGCCTCTGTATCAGAGGCAGCAGCACAGGGTGGCAGACGAAGCCAGTCTGCATGGGGAGTGGGGTTTTCAATGGACTCCCCTCACGGATGGCTCCCGCTTGCCACCCTGATAGAGAGGCAGCAGTATGCAGTGGCAGGGGGCTCCTCAAGAATGCCAGCCCTGCCCCCAAAGACTATTAAATAGTTGTGTAACTGCTAACATTTGATAACATCCCTAATCTGAATGGTAAATTTTTGGGGATGGAACTGTCTTTAACATGTGTTTGTAATATGCATGTATCACCATGAGGCCCTGGTCTACGTGAGACTTTTAGGCACTACCATAATGCTAATAAATAAATTTAAATTACCAATAAGAGTTAAAATTACTATGTTTGTAAACAGATTAGAAAAGTATAAATGTTTCTCTTGCTTTTCATTTTGTTTACTGTGTGCATTTGGCAGCACTAACAGGAACTCAGTTTCAGTGTTCTCCCTGGTAAGCAGATTTCTCCCCTGTTGTTTGTGGGGCTCTTACAACACAAGAGGGATGAGAAAAGCACTTAAAGGAGGAAAATAGAACTGTAAAATTACAAAAATTTGCAAGGATGACACAGAGGCAGGGATAATTCCTAAAATCACTTCAAATTTATTTTTTAAATTTACTAGATTTCAAGCTGATGATGGCATACAGTTACCCTAAATTTACACTGCACAAACTATACCTACAATAAGTCAGTGGCATATATTTGGGATCAAAAAGTTCATTTCTGGAATGTTTCACATAAATACTTGTGAATTATTTGCTGGCCAGATGAAAAGCGTCACATTATTTACAAAAACATTTACTTTTTTTGAGAACCACTATGGTTACAAATGTTTTCTATAGTGCCAAAAATTTTTAGTAAAACAAGAGAATAATATATTGTACAGTTTTAGGTTTTACTCATCTCCAGTGAAATGCTATGAAATCCAACAGACCCAAAGCATCAAAATTCATCAGTGAATTATGTTGTGCAAAATCAACATAATAGGAAGTTTAGAACTCAGCTACTCAGAGGTTAAGTGTAGGATTTAGACTGAAGTATATCCTATGGATAGCTGTTCCACCTGGCTATGATAACTAGCATAAAGATATAAGCTGATAATATTACAACTAATTTAGTACCATAAACACACATGATACCAATAACATCAAGGTCAGGTTTGATTAAAAATATTTATAATTATTATCATTTGCGTCTCTTCACTGAACTTCTTACAAAACTTCATATACATACATAAACAAATAAAATATGGACCTCTCTCCATGTGATTCTATGCGATTTCTATAATGAATTACTACAATGTAACATGCAACAACATTTGACAAGAACTAAGACAATACAGGTGATGCATAATTCGGCTTCTGGTAAACTAACCATATCACTGACAGGAAACATAATATTGAACATCTCAGGGAACAGTTATGATCACCAAATTCATTTCCAAATGCTATTTAAGGAGTTTATTTCAAACTATAAAGATCTATATAGCTTAGTCATAGCTATTTGAGCCATGATCTATATCCAAGGTGCATCTACACTGCACCCATAGGTCGAAATAAGATACGCAATTTGAGCTACACAAATTGCATTATCTTATTTTTGATCTAATTTTAAAATAGTTTGTTTCAAAACTGGTATTCTGAAACATCCCTTAATCCTCAGAATAGTGAGTTATTTCAAAATCTATTTCAAAATAACAGGCTGGTTCAAAAGATGCAGAATAGCTATTTCGGGATACCTCCGATACCCCAAGAGAGCACCGCAGTCTAGAGTACCCCAAAAGAGCCATTGTTGCAGCTGAGGACAGCTGGAGCATTTTAACTAAGAATCCCTACGTCTAAAAATCTGGAGCTGGTGGTCAGGTATTCTCAAAGTCCACATTTCAAAAATCTGCTTCCTCTAATGACCCAACCCAGCTAGAGTCTGTTGAATTTTACAGTATAGGACAACACTTATCTCTTTTCTCAACAGCTTGCTTCAAAAGGTAGGATGGGATGGGATGGGATGGGATGTAGAAACTATAGATTTTGAAGTCCTTTGGCTTCTTCTAAAGATGTAAAATACTGGAGGATTTTAAATTAAATTGTGGACATGAACCTTGAGATGTGGAGGTAAACCAAATAAAGTAAGGAAAATATGACACATAAACCTATCAAGCAGCGCACTACAAGGATTATATTATGTTTCTCCTACCCCTGGCAGTGAGCAGTTACTCAGACGAGTAGTTCCACTGAAGTCAAACTCATGATGGCTACTCACGTAAGGACTTACCGACATGAGTAACAGTTACATAAATGAGAATTCCATTTCTACTGTTAATATTCTTCAAGTAGCAAAAAAGAACAAATCTCACTTCAAGTCCCTTACAAAATCATTTACTTTAGCCCAAGAACTTCTGGTAATATGTTTACATGAAATGAGTGGAGTTTCCTGGAGGGGTTATGTCAGCATTTTGTTTCAATGCTAAAATATAGTTGGGGGAGAGAGGAAATGAGGAAGTTCAGAATAATGCTCCCTTAAATCCACTTTAGTTTCTCCTACTGAGTTAATCAGACATGACATTGATTTTATTCTGTATTCAGAACCTGTTAGGTATTGTGTCCAACTAACTTACAAACACTGTTTCAGTTACTGAGACAAGCAGGTAAAGATTAAAAGAAGCATTGCTGAATCTCCTTTACATTTTATCGCACTTTTTAATAATTACTATATATATTGACTGGAGATCCAAATCTTCAAAAACAATCATGACTTTTAAGAATGTAATTTTACCCATTAGTAGCACAGGAGTTCACATCAGGAAGAACTATTGCACCTCACAGAATTCAGCAGAGAGATGATTCTTCTCTAGCACTCAGTAGCAGCAGTATTTCAGGGTTTTTATGCTGCATTTTTACAGTCTAAACAGAAATTAAATACCTGCAGTCATAACTCATCCTCCAATTGCTTTAAAATAGACATTTAGCTCCTCAAAGGGGTTGACAATGTCTTTTTAAATTATAACTACTGATCTATATCACTGTAATATGACAAAATAGACTTTTCAAAGTT